TCGATATTGATAATTCGTTATTATTTAATTATTATTTCTGTATATAATTCTCGATATTTTTCGATATATTTATTAATTAAATTATTTTAATAGATTTTTTTTAGATGTTTTATGATTTTTTTTGTTTTATGAATAATTATATTTATATGTAATATTAATTATCGAATTTAATATTAATTTTATATTTAGATTTTATATGTAATATTGATATGAATTTAATTCTCGATTATTTATAATGAATTATTATATACGAAATTAGAAAGCAATATTTCGGATTCGAATTTTATTATAATTTTTAATAGAATATATTTATCGAAATTCGATTGGATAATCGAAATTTTAAAACATAAAAATATACGAAATATGATTTATAATTATGATTGCAAAATCATGTTATTGAAATACGAAAATAATACGCACGGCCCCTCGTTTCTAAGAACAAATATTTAAAATAATTTTGAAAATATGGTTAATAAAATATTATTTTTATTAGTATTTCTTTAAAATGGTTATATATATTCCCTAGGAATTATGAATTAAATATTAATTTCCCAATAATATGAAAATTTGGGGTCTTAGTCGGTTCCGGGGGCTTCTTTGGGGTAAGGTTCCATGAGGGTTCCACCAGAATTCCATAAGGTTCTACGAGATTTGTGGGTGATATACATATTAAAATAATATTATATATAATTAGGAAATATTATTTAAAGTTATATATTTCTCTATCTTTATATATTTCGATAAAATAACGAAGAATTCAAATTAGATATATATGTCGATAAAATAAAGAAGAACCCACATTTGATATATAGACAAATATATTGATGAACGAAATAATTTGCATTAATATTCACCACAAAACATATATGAAAAAAATTGCACGAATAAAATATGGGCCATGTATATATATATATATTACATTATATAAAGAAATATATATTATTTTAAATATCTAAATTAATTGCAATTATAAATAAAGATTCTAAATACATATTAATCTATGTTCATGGTATAATAAAATATCCGAGTTTTCCAGGAAATATTATGTTTTGTTTTTCGTTTTGTATTTAGAATTTTGTTATGTAAATTATGTTTGTGGTTCCCTCAATAGATTTTTTATATTGATTATTTTTTTATATCCAATTAAATATTCTATGGATGGTTTATAATCCCATCGAAATAAATTAAGCATGGTATTTATTGCAAAATACCTATTAAATTCGATACATTAATTAATCCGTAATTTGTTAGGAAGTCTTCCTAAATCGTTGCTAGGGAAAAAGAATAGCATTATAATATGAAATGTCTAGTAAAGGTAATAAATAGTTTCAATTTACCGTAAGTGGAAGTTGTACGTATGTATATATTATATATATAACAATAAACAATCTATTTGGGATTGTTTGTGTAAAATTCATATTGGATACTTCCGGAGGGCCGTCTTGCAAATATTTATTTGTTTATTAACTAAATCCTATACTAAAACATTAATCGTATTGTTTTTCAAAAACCCGGTTTCGGAGCAAAAGATAGCTTTATATGGATTTTTATTGGCTTCATATAAGAATTTTATGGATTTCGTGTATTTCATATGAACGTATCCTTGATTATTTTTTTCCAAGAATGGGCATTCGTCAAATTATAATATCACTAATATTCCTATATCAAGAATTAATCTATTTAATATCTATTCAAATTTCCTATTTTATATATTTTCAAAAATAATTTCCTAAACATAATCTTTTATAATAACTAAATTTTATATAATGTATTATAATTATTTTATCTTTCTTTCCAAATTTGTTTTTTTTATGCTTATTATTTTTGGGCAAATTTTCGAAAAAATAGATTTCGAAAAACCTAATTATTCATTTATGACCTTTATATTTTGGCATTTTTTGCAAACGAAATATTTATAATTAGCTATAAAATATCCGGCAGAGGTTTATTAAAATTATATATAATTATTTCCGCAAAAGGATTGATAATTTATAATACAATAGGCAATATAACCCAAATATTATATATAAAACCATTATTATTTTATAATATATTATTATATTTTTGTATAAAAATATTTAAAAAAAAAATCAAAATGAAATAAATTAATATAAATCTCAAATATTTTTATTCTTAGTATAATAATAAAATAAATAAATATAATGATAATTAAATCATATTCATTAATAAATAAAAACCATTCCCAGAATTTCCTCGGCCATTAAATAAACGTCCCTAAAATATCGGATTTGTTTAATTCGAAAAAAAGAAAAAAAAAATACCTTTTGCATCCATTATAAGACCCAATTTCTTCGAATATTTTTTATTAGGGCAAATTAATATCATAAATCAGCCATAAACAAACCATACACAAACCATAAACATATCATAAACACACTATAAACATACCATAAAGATACCATAGATATACCACAAACAAACAAACAACACATACTTACGAAAAATACCGTATAAATTAAAATATGTATCTTTTTCCAAAAATAAAATATATTACAAAATCAAGATATTTATATCAAATGGAATTATCAAACCGAAATCTAAAGACTTCGTTGTTCACAACCGAAAAAACCATCATTAATCGGCAAACAATTCATTTTCTACCATAAAAAACATATATTATAATTTAAATAATAATTTCGATATATCCCATATGTTTAAACAAATTTAATAAAATTTAATCTTCAAATTAAAATACTTAAACACCAAAATAAAATCAAGAAATAAACAATCTTATCTATCCACAATTCAACACCACTTTAAACACGAAAATTGCATCATCCCATTCCGAAAACAAATCAAAACGAAAATTAAAATAATTTTCAACTAGTATATATCTCCACTAAATATCACTAAAAAACATTACCATCTTTCCCGCTTCTTTAGTTCATAATATATAATTTATCAAGGTTTTAATATTCTTTTCTAGTTTAAAAACAACAACAAAAGATATATATATATATATTATATATATAAACTAATAAATATATATTAAATCAATATATGGTATCGTTATTTAAACACCCGGACACTTAAATAGGTCAACAAAGATTTTATATTAGCTCCGCCAGCGTTACTGCCAGCCCGACCGACTAACTTGAATGCCCGATTTAGATAAATATTTTGTATTACATCTTAAAAACCTATCTCTGGTCCGACCCGCCTTGTGAATTTGCTTGCTGATTGTTGCTAATTATATCTTCCGCAACCAATCGGTTATTCTAAGATTTGCGAAAAATAGGTCCCGTCCCAAGAAACCAAGAGATTCATAAATTTAAGGCAATGTATATATCCCGTCCGGGATAAGGGGCATTCATGTCTTTCTCATTTTCTTTCATGAGCCATATACACAAATCTTAGGTAATTCAATTCAGTGTATTTAGCTCCGCAATTCCAGGCATTTATATTGTATGGAATTACGAAAACATTGGTCTGCAATTAAAAACATTAGTAATATGCCGACAGAGCGCCTTAGGTTGGACCTGTGTGGCTTGGCAATGGCTAATGCATATGCTACGGTTTGAGATAATCCTTTTGCAGGGCCAACATAAGCCTGACATAGGGGCCCAATGCCACATACACTATCCCTCTCTCGCTTTCCCCTTCTCTCTCTTTCTTTTTTTCCAATTCTTTTTATTCTATGGATTTAAACATAAATCCCGCCCCTTCTTGTTTTCTTTTTCCACGAACCATATAAACACGGCTTAGATAGCTCAAATCAATGCACTTAACTCCGTAATTCCAAGCGTTTATAGAATATAGACAAGAAATATTAATATTGCGTCGACATAGCGCCTTAAATTAGACCTCTCTGGTTTAATAGGAGCTAATATATGTATACTACGAATTCGGTGCGGGATTTTACGAATATAAAATAATCCTTTCGTAAGGGTCTAAAACAAATTTAAAATAAATCTAATACAAGGCCCAATGCCAAATCCAAATATTTCTTTCTTTCTCTTTCTTTTCTTTCAATTCTTTTCATTCTAAAATTTGTTAAAAATAAATCGTATCTCCAAATGCTAGGAATTTCAACAACCCAAAGACATCTAAAAATTCCATACAAAACAAAAAATATTTATGTCCTTCTTATTTTCTATCTCCACGAATCACGAAAATAAGATTTATTGTTATAAATACAATATATATATATTTTTTCAGCAATTCTTATTATTTTAAGTTAAAAAGAAATTCGGCATTAGGTTTTGTGTAAAATTTATTTTAAACCCCTATAAAAATATTATTTTACCCTAATCCAAATCCTTAATATTAATATAATAATATAACGATTCACAAACTATAAAAATAATATACAATATTAATTAAAATATAATACAATATTAATTCCTATAATTATAATATAATATTTTTGTAATTCTATATAACATAAATGCCTATAATTATGGAATTAAGTACGCAAAATTAAATATATCTCTATAATCTAATCTATCTTAACAAAAACTAACACAACACAACTACTATCAAAAACTTAAAATAATAATTACCCCCATTTTTACGAAAACAAAAAAAAAAAAATACATCTATTCCGATATTGCCATTTAAATATCTTAATTAATATTATATATTACCTTCAAAACCCGTAAAAATTGCCCCGACCAACCACTTTACATATCCAATTTAAACAGATATTTTATATTATCTCCCAATCCTAAAGCCCAGGCCCGGCCCCCACATATTTAAAAATCATCACCATATATATATATATATATATCAAACAAAGGCATTTACATCAAATATAAGTAGTGTTTTTGTGTAAATTCATTTTCAGAACATTGTTTCTCACCATTTTTCAATCTCTTTTATAGTGGAATAAACATCGGAACCAGAAATCAGATTATCAACAATGTGCAATAGGCTAGGGCCCTTTGGAATCTGGAGATTCATGTCCACTTAAGAGTTGGCTGCAACCCTCAAAATTCCTAGGAATCTCTTAAATCCGGCAGCTCTTTCATTTTCACTGGCTAATCTCGGACTTGATCCATGACCTGCGAAGCAAGCGGAATCACATGTTCCAGCAAACCTCAGTACAGCAAGCTTAGACTTTAAGCATGGTTATGAGGAAGGATATTCCAACAAACCTAGTTTTCAAGAAGGTATTCCAACAAACCAGGATTTTCAAAACTGCCCCAAGAATTGCGGAGCTATTCACTCTACATCCGTTTTTCGCTGCAGCTGGACCGACACGCGTTCAGCTGCAGCATCTCGAGTGAATTGACCATCCGCTATGTCCACCCAAGACAAACCACCACACACACAAAGCAAGAGTTGCTGCTCCATGTACAAGATGAGCTGTGCGAAGCTATCCAGGTTTGCCTCTGACATCTTTGCAACTTGGTGACCCCAAGTCTCCCTGAGGTGGCCATTGATTTTGATCTTTCAGGGGGTCCATTGCTCCGAAGGCAGCCAAGTCCAGGAAGTCGATGGTGGGCAGACCCAATTTTAACCCAAAAAGTATAAAGTCCAGGCTCTGCAAAAGTGGTCTGATTCCCACTAAAGCCTGGGACAAACCCCCAATGAACTGGGGTTGACAAGTAGGAGGTCAAACAATTGATGATTTTATGGTTGGACGAGTCTCCGACTGCTGTGTTCTGACCTGACGGTGGGTTCAGACACTACGAGTCTCCAAAGGGGAGCCAAAGGTTCCATTTGGCCATGGGTCAAAATCCCGTACCCCCAGTGAACATCCCAATCCCCACTAAATAGGTTCTAAAATGGGTGGTAAATTCAAAACGGTTTTGACAACCACAGCCATTTGAGTCGCCCCGGTCGCACAAAAGCAATCAGTCCTCGATCACACGGTGCAGCCCTTTGAGCTTGGCCTCGCTAGGAGGTTCAAAGGGCCGTTTTTGAGGTTCAACCGGCGGGGTTACAGGAATTTCTACAGGAAAGCAGTTTGCTTGAAGTGTCTCGGTTGCTTTCTGCTCCCCTGCTAAAAGTGAATAACTTTGAGTGGTTTACGGAAAACCCATTGCTTGGCAAAAAGTTAAAAGTCCCAACATCCAAGCAAAATGCACCAAAGGTGCCTTTTGGGCCATCTCCTGCAGGCTTTCCTGGAACCAAACCCATGGAGAGGCGGATCAAACTCTGCAAATTCATAGCCAGTTCTGGACATTGGAACCCCCCATAGCTCGTGGCGATAGGAAACTCTCACAGGGCAGGGCAATGGGTTAATAAACATGGCCGTTGAGTGAAGGTTGCCTCAATCGACACGAAGTCAGACATGTCAGACGCTTGCGCTTTGCACCATGATTCTCGCACGAAATGTGTTCCCTTCTGCTTTGGGTATTTTAATGTTGGTGCGCAACCATCCCGCCACTGTTCTGCCGTATCTCAAGTGAAACGCAACAGCGTGGATTGCCTTGGAATGCTAATTCGGGACAATCATTTGGTGAACATTGCCTTGAGCAACTTGGCACAAATGCCTCTCGGCAACTCTGGCTGGACCTTGTCACTCTTTCCGTCTAGGCCTTGGGCTAGCCAACATGTATGTGTATACCCATTCACACATGCAACCTCTGCACATCCATCCCGTATGTTCGCACGTTCGTCCATGATAGCCCCGTGAATGCAGGTTGGCTGATGAGGCTGAGCCTTTCCGTTTCCGAGGCTTTGGGAACCTGAATCATGCGGGGCCAAAGGCAGGACGTTCATAACAAACTTGTCTTCCCAGATGCAGATCTGAAACCGTCTCTTTTGGGGAAAGGCCCCAAAAGAGAAGCTGGTTTTAAAGGGAAGCCAAAAGGAAAACAACCAGTTGATTGAGATCTATCTGACTTGGGGCTTGGAGTGACCCTGGTTGAACAAGGGAACTTGATCTGCAGCCGATCTCCTTGGGCCCTGCCCCTTTTGGGGTTGCTTAGGGAAACCGAAAATCGAAAATTGGCCAAGACACACCCATACTGCGGATGGACCTGGGATGATTCCCCCGTAAATAGTGGTGAAGCGATTCAAGGTTGGAAGAGTTAAAGATATATTAAGATGATGAAGGATAGACTCGCCCTTCACTCGTCAATCAACTTCTTGCTCCAATCATGAAGTCTTGAGAATTGATGAGGAAGAAGGATGACCTCGTACATGCTAACAAGAAAAGGGTGTCCCATGGTCGCCACTAAAATAGACCAAAATGGGTGGTGCACCTACCCCAAAGTGGTGCCATTGGATTTGACCCACAGCCAAATGGTTTCCCATGGTGGGCATACTGTCCCCATCTAAACCCCGCTGTCCTCTAAACCGAGGCAGTGGCCCGACACTGAATCCGGTGGCTCTCCACCTAAAGCATGGGTCAGTGAGAGGTTGGCTCGGGTTTCGGGTTGGAGGTGGGGGGGGTTCGGGTTTGGGGGTTCGGGTTTGGGGGTTCGGGTTTTTCTAGGTCCTCCAGATTTGAGAGGTTAGAAGAAGGGTACCAACTTTTTTTTCTCGGTTTGGTCTTTTTTAGTAGGGGAACCCTCCCAACCCAAAAAAAGGGTGAGAAGGGCACTACTGCAGGACCAAGTTTTGGGGCTGGGGCTTAGTCTGGTCCACCTGCATCCGGTTCAACCTTTAGGATTTGATTCTCTAAAGCCAAGGGTCTCGGCATCCCAAGAACCAAACAAAAAACCACTCTGCTTCATGTGCACCACATTGGTCCTTTTTCTGTGGACGTCTGGAAGGAAGAGAGTGTTTCAGCGGATGGAGAAATCCTGGATTTCTTGGGGACGGAGACTCACCGCCCCGGTTTAAGGGACCCCCAACAAAAAGGATTCTCGACTCTCGATAGTTTGCCTTGCGCCAGCGATTGTTTCCGGACACTAATTATGTATTGTACATTGTGCATCCCTGATGGTTGGGCAAACGCACAACATCTCTCCCCTAGCCTCAACAAAGAAAAGGCTTGCCTAGCAATTGTTAAAACAGCATGACTTTTGGCCTGCCCTATTCGGGAAAACAAAGGGACCCCTAGAAATGTAGACACCCCTTTGTATGCTTAGGGCCAAATGCTTTCTTTTTGGCACGCGTTCTCCGGCGCTTGTCCGTGAGTAAACACGGCAGATCAATTCTGCTGTCGGTGCCAGTCAGCGATGTTCAAAACATCAAAGGAAAGCAGCATCACGACATTCAGCAAGGGTCCCAGCAGGGCCCTCCTTTTGGCAACCTGACTGGTGGCGCGAACATTCGCTCCTTTGCCCCCCATCTCCCCCGCGCTCTCTCCCTGTCACACAAAAACACAGGCCCTTCTTGACAACTACTTTCTGCAATCAAGCAATAATGCTTCAGTACGCACCCGAGACCAGACAAAGACAATGCAACCATTCTGTTGAAAGGCGAAACAGTCATTGACTATCCTTTGATGCTGATGAGCAGGCACGCAGTTTTGAGCTCCAGACATTACCTTCACAAAGGAGATTGTCGTAGAGCTCTTCTTTGTACAACCTTGGCAACGGAGACTGAAACTTGAAGCAACAAGCGAGACGTTCCACGTTGATGGGGAGAGTATGTGTAAACATGCATGGCCTCTCTTGTTGTCCCTTCTGTATGGAACCCTCAGAAAGAGTCCCCACACTTTTCCATGTTGTCGGCACCGCCTAGGGGGCTTCAGGCGGAAATCTGAAAACCTGTGTGGTCCTTTTGGTTTGCCTTTAAACCAACCCAACACGGGCTACGCACACACCACGTGTAATGCGACTATTCTTTCCCAACCTGCAGGCATTCATTGTGGCTCAGTTTAGTTTGTGTTTCGAAAGTGGCGAAAGCACGGGAATCATTTTGGATTTCCAAGAAGGGTGCTTAGCACTTAGAACCTTCTGAGAACCATTGCGACTCTCAGTCACTTTCTTCAGCACGCCGGCTCAGGCAGCCGCCGTGTCACGCACTCGCTCTGGATGGCATCTTTCAAGGAGCTTACCTCAAGACTCGCCCCGTGTGGGTGAAAGGGGGGGTGTCCTCCCCCAAGTGCGATTGATTCAATCACTAAAAGGGGACACACACCCGATTGTATAATGAAGCAGGAGTTCATGAATCCAGGTTAACATTAAGATCCTTCGGGAAGATCCAACAAATCGAATGACGGTCTGGGTTGGGACATTTTCAAATGGACATGTCTGGGTCGAGGAAATAATCCCTAGAAGAGCTGGTAGCATCCCAAAGCCAACTGAATGCTTGCACTTGAAAAGACTCAAACTGTTTTTTTTCGAGCGCCGAACATAATTCACTGATCAATTGTGTTGGGGGTGGTCAAATGTAAAAACTGCTGGCGTCACTTCTCGTGCGAATGCATATCCACAACAATGATTAACCGACTCCACCCTTTGCACTCGCTGAAATGGAACGACAACTGAATAAATGACCGCTCTATCACCAAAGTTAATGCAATACGGGATGCACAATGATGCAAACATTGTGGGTGGCAAGGCGTGGCAGTGCCGCTTCACCTTCAATATTGCATTCAATGCATCAGTGATCGTCTTGCAACACATGTTTGTGCTTGCATAAAGTGCACAACCTTCACGAGTCAGGCTCATGCTTGGAAAACTTACTACGCCGGCTTGCTTTGCTGATGTGGTGCAGCTGCTATTGCGTCACGGCAACGTGGGTGAAAGCGCACAACTCCCCCCACCATTTCCCCCCATTCCGGTTTAGCCAGCTCGTTTGCCTAGTGACCCCGGATTGATGAACCCATGCTACTATTAGGGGGTCGTCACCCGCAAGTGAACGATCCAGGGGATATTACTCGAGGGTTTACCCTAGCCACAAGGTGATTGTGCCATCGCCTTTCACCCCTGGATTCTGGTGTCCACCGATCCACCACGTCTGGGGCTGCCAACTGCTCGATCTGCAGAAACACCTGCGCCACTCACCTGGCCGGCATGCGAAACCGGTGGAATTCCTCGATGCCGGACTGATCTGACCCGCAAGAAGTGAACTGTTTGGATAGGGAAAGCGGAAAGGCCAAGGTGAGTTGGAAAGTGCCGAAAAGACCATGCACAGGTGAACAAAAAGGGAGGGAATTTGACCGACAGCAAATAGGTTCTACCATGAGTCGAATGAGTCACAATCACTTTCATATTAAGGGAGCCCCATGGCAAAGAAACAAAGCAAAGCGGCTGCACAAATTTGATGCTTGGGACTGTCCCCTAACGTTCATCTACTCCCTGGCTGAGTGGATGGCCCAAAAAAAGTCCAAACTTTATATTTACCACTAAAATGGTCTTCCCAAAAAGTTTAAATTTCATGAACTCAGGAAGTGAGTCTACCCATCTTTGCGCAAGTGGCTCAAAAGGATCCAACTCTCGCGCCCGAAACGAAACCGCGGGTTTGGATCAGCTCATCGCGAGAACTCGGCGATTTTTCCAGGGTCTGGGGATGAAAAAGGCAGGCTGATCACGAGAATACCGTGGAAAAGTGTGTGAAAAAACCACGTCCAAGGCGATTGTCCCTGTTGAACCCACCTAAAAAATGACTTTCCAAAAACTCTCCGAGCCAGTGGAACCCCACCTAAGACGGACTCAAAACGGTGAGCTAGCCAGAAGTTAGCACATAGAGCGGCCTCTTTCAAGGTGAAGGGACGCTTCCCATCCCTTGGGGTTGAAAACATCGATTCCAGTGGAACCAAACTGAAAATAGGAACATCAATTTTCCGCTGAAGTAACCTAAGAACGAGACCTCCGGGCCACTGTGCGCTGCATACATTTACAAGCTCTCACTTTTTGACCCCATCAGCTAGGTGTGTGTCAAAATAGAGTAGCCCGAACATGACTTCTTTTTTTGTGTGTTTCCCTTTGAACCGGACTCCGCGCTTCAACAAAAAAAAAAACAATCCAACTGAGAAACAAGTCTGCCCATGGCTGACGCGTCTCAACTCGGCACGTGCCGAGCGGGCCAAGAAGAACATGATCGCCTTCGGCACCTTGGAGTGCTCTGAGAGAGCTTGCAGAACTGACACTGAGGAACCACAAGAAGTGGATCCTACAGGAAAAAAACCAGGCAAAACACCGAGTTTCTAGCTTGCAGGATCTGACAGAGAACAAATGCGAACAGCTAGAAACCACTTGGGAATTCTGAAGCCTCACATCCGCCATGCAAAACCACGCTCTGGACGCCTGTGAGTGTATCAAATGCTGCACCAGTGTTGTGATGGATGAAACTTTGTGCATCCTGGGATAAAACACCTACCAACTGGCGTAAAGTAGACTTTGCCCATCCATAGAATCCTGCAGATCAGTCCGAAGCTGCAAGATTTGCAAGTGTCTCGACGTTACATGGGTCACTGGCCTTGGACTCTCACCTTTCCTCTGCGACATCCGCAAACTAGACAGTCACGAACCTGTTTGCTTTTCCGAACGCATCCGTTTTGGGCTTGCTATAAAGGGAATCCCAAGAAATAAAATCCATTTGCTGCTTGTGGCTGCCACTCGCGGGCTCCGGTGCTTGGGTGCCGGCGGAATCTGCGATATTTTTCTTGACCAAGGCCAGGTAATTCTCAATGAGCCTTTTGATGATGTTCACCTGCAGGTAGGTCAGAGAAACCCAACACCACGAAACAAAGCTAATCGCAACCGCTCAGCCATGATATGATAAATGCCTATTGTATGCTATACTATTTTTGTTTATGCAAAAAACAAAAAACAACTTGGCCTAAACACCAAGCGTTGTCAACTCAGCACCCAAATCGTGGATCAAGGTCTGCTCACAGAACCTCTGATCCGCAAGAGGGCAAAAGCGAAGTTCGGATTTGCCCTTGAGGCGCTGCATTACCATCTGAGATAGGGCAAATCTGTGCCCATCCGCAAAGTCCAAGAAAATACTGGCTTCACAGGCAGTGTGGGGCGAGCGGGTCACATTCTCAGGCGGCGACTCAGCAAAGCATGGCACAACAGAATTGGGCGACCAACTACCCGCTGAGTGTGCAGAGGGCGTAACGCAGACCAAGATGAAAAAGCAATGCATGGCCAGTTGTGGGTGTCATGCTTGTCGTGTTTGCCGTGGTTGTTGACTTTTTGGTGCTTATGGTTGGTGGCAGCCGCGTCGCTATCATTGGAGATGACTGCAAGCACTGCTGTTGTGAGCACCAGGTCCCAGCCCTGGCCCTTGCTCGAGGCGCACTCTGCTTGGCCCCTTCCGCCGCCCGGCACCCGCCAAGCCATGGCGCACTAGTTGGCCGAGGGATGATTGTTGCATCCGGCGGATGGACTGCACTTGGCTGGTCCATCCAGGCCTGATGGTCAGAACGTGCTCATTCCCCTCGAAAACGTCAGGTGTTTTAAAGGCGGCTTGGGTGCTTTGGACACTTCTGCGAGAGAGCTGCCACTACCTCTTGGCCCTCTCCATGCACTGCCCACGTGTCTGGCTCGCAGGGTGGCGCGGGCCATGGTGGATCTCCACCATGGTATTGTTGGAGTCGCGCCACCGAGCAGTTCACACATTCGTTTATCTGCTTGGCGCGCTTGTCCTTTAGTATCTGGATCAACACATCGACGTCTTTGCTG